TCTTTTTCTTTCTTTCGCTCTCTTCCCTTCTCTATCATATACTTCTTCTTTCTATTCATTGTTTTCTTTACTTTTCTTTCTTTCTTTCTCCTCTTCTTTTTTTTCTAATTATCCCCCTTTTCCTAGTTGTTCTCTCTTTTTACTTTCATTGCTTCTTTTCTCTTTTCTAGCTTACATTTTATTAAAGCCAGTAAAGACACAATGAAATAAGGTGTTACTGTTTAAAGAAATATTAAAAAGCAGAAACATTAAGGAGCAAGAACAATAAAACAAGAAGAATCAAGAAGACAGTCGATGAACGATCACACTGTATTTAAATTTTTGAAGATCAAAGTTGGTTGGAAAGCAAGAAGTCAGAATAAAGATCCACAAATGCGAAGTCCGGGAAAAGAAGCTGTTAGCATAGAAGGATTGCATCTGACCAATTCAACTGCAAACTGACAATGAGCCCCTGTTGCTAATCCATTACTGCGCTTAAATTCATGAAGTCTAGGTACAATAGCGAAGACTTCACCCGAACAATTACCATAAAAGTGTTTATAGAAAAAGCACAGGGAGTGTATGCCAAAAGCTTGATTAAATGAATTATTTCTACTTAAATAATATATATATATATATATATATATATATATATATGCGAAGAGATGAGAACGAAAGTAATATATAACTTCCAACGTTCAGAGAATTAATCCAAAAGAGGGCTCGATACCGATAGTAGAGCGATAATTATTTATTTATTATAACTTTATCATATAGACGAAACCATTTTACTCACTACAAAGATGCAACTTCGTTTCAGTGCATTTCAACTGCACTTCGACGGGTGAAAATCGAAAATGGTTACGTAGCAGTTGAAACCAAGTTGCATCTTTGTAGTGAGTAAAATGGTTTTGTCTATATGATAAAATTATAATATATATACATATATATATATATATATATTATAATTTTATGATATAAAATTATAATATATATATATATATTATAATTTTATCATATATATAAAAATTCTGTGAGAAATATATATATATATATATATATATATATATATATATACAAAAAAGGATGTAAATTTGTTCATAAATAAATTTAACAGACAAACATAATTTGGGCAAGGAATAAAGTGACGGCAATTTAGTAATTTAAAAAAATTAGAATCAAGGATAGAGGAAGCAAAAAAGAGTTATCGATGTATTTTATTTGATACTAAAGGATCAATATAATTAATAATCAAATACAGGTGTTTACAAATCCTTTTACCTATATAAGGGAATAGGCTATTTCGGCAGATCAAGGCAAAATTTGTCTGTCTGTAGGAACAGACGAAATCCGTTGTATGAATGAATTTTCACGTCTGTACAGGTTAGAGGGTTAGTGTAACTTATTGAAATTGTTTAAGAAATTTGTATTGTCGAAATTTACCTCCAATCTGTGGTTGCAATTATATATACATATATATATTCGGCATGTTTTGTTAATGAATTACTATGAAATTTGGACTTAATGGATAATGCCTCCAAAATTTTAATTTTATACATTTTTCAAGTTCTTAATTTACCCACCACAGAGAACCTGAGGATAATTCTGCCTCCCATCAGGATGAGAATTGGAGGAAACTCCACAAGAGCGCCTCGCTACTGCTGCATCAAGTCACGGTTATTCTTGGTTGGGAAATGGGAAAAGTATCTTTTTCCGTTTTGTTAAACAGGCTAGTCACAAAAAGCCAAAAATGACTTCCACCAAAACAATGGAATAAATACATTGAATCAATATCAATGACCTTTCGATGTCATCTTCATCTCACTATTATTTACTCCTGTTCAATTTTGGTATTTCAAGATTAGAAATTGGTTCTCTGTATGAGTTTAATGGCTTGGATTAATCTTAATGCAAACCACCAAATTTTTTTTCTCGTCTGATGCCCAAGTCCACAAGCGCCTCCTTCAAATCTATAATGGGGTGGTACATTGAATCAAACCTTCCGTTTTTTCGTCAATCCTTCCTATAAATCAACCATGCATGGAATATTGCTGCCATATATGGTCTGGTGCTCCCGCTGTTCATCTCGAGGTCCTCGACAAAATCCAGAGACGTATATGCAATGTTATAGGTCCTAATCTGGCATCTAGTCTACAATCACTTTCCCATATACATGCCATGGCTTCTCTCTGTCTCTTCTACAAGTATTTTTCCAACAGCTGTTCCGACGAGCTACTTTCGCTGGTTCCAGGACTACGGAAATTTAAGCGAGCTACCGGGATGACATCTCGAACCCACCCCTTCAGTGTCAAAACGTTTAAATGTAACCATCTCTTCTTCTCAAACAGCTTCTTCTCCCACACTTCCCATCTGTGGAACTCCCTTCCCCTTACTTGCTTCTCTGATGACTATAATCTTCAAATATTCAAGTGTAATGTCAATCGACATCTGACACCCTGAGCTTGTTCCCCGTCCTTCTCTGTATCTTTTCCCCAAATATGCCTCTTTACTCTTTTTCTCAATCCTCTGTAACCCCATGCGTGCTAGTGGCACTCCCGTCCTATGAAAGACTTAACTAGTCCCCTTAATTACAGTTCATCGTCTGTGGAGAGAGGGGAATAAACAAGAATTTAAAAACTAGCCCCAGTGAATATTTACAATAGGGAAACAAAACTATTTACAGGAAACTAAAGAAAATAATATTAGTAATAATCCCCCCCAATCCCTAAATGTGACAGAAACATCAGTTAACTGGACGTAATTAATGCAGGACTTTAATAATATAAAAACAATCACTCATCCGAAACATTTACTCAAATACACACCAACATAGCGAAGAGTCCATCCGAATAATTACCATGAAAGTATTTATAGAAAAGCCACAGGGAGGCATCGTTAAAAAAGTGGCTGAAGCCGAGACGCCAGGTCAGGACCAATAATATTGCTGATTCTTCTTTGGATTTTATCAAGAATCTCTAAATATTCAGCAGGAGCCTGTAAATTGATGAGATCTCGACGCCAGTTTAATACTGAGCTTAAATTCAAAAACTCTAGGTACCAAAGCGAAGAGCTCATCTGAACAATTACCATGAAAATATTTATAGAAAAGACACAGAGGGACAACCTTATAGCGATGGATGGGGGAAGTAACTGAAGCCGAAACGCCAGAACAGGACCAATAATATTGCTGATTCTTCTTTAGATTTTATCAAGGATCTCTAGATATATAACAGGGGTCCCGGACCATATGGCAGCAATATTCAAACCATGGAAGAATGGTATACTTATAAATATATAAGATATATTATGGCAAGAAAAAAAAACAACTTTCCTCGCAGAGGAACTAGAAATGGCTTCAATATAATCTTTTCACAGTATGTCAACCGAGAATGTTCGCTCTCATAAAGGGTCTGTCAGGTAATTGATAGAGAGAAAATATCGAAAGTCCGAATGATTGCGAAACTCAGAGTCGACATCAACCTTATTATAGCTGATGCAATAATGGTGGACTTTCCCATCGTATTCGATGTATCAGGATCAAGCAGCTCAGTTCCTAGGAATCGACAGGCCAGACACCAGCACATATGATTTGATTATAGTGGTGAAGGCTTTGTGCAGAACCAACCAGGCTTTTTTAAGGGAATTTGAATACAGAGACCTGTTGCACTACGATAAACGACCCTGCAGGTTTTGAATTCAGAGTTGTCCTTCTCCTAGAGCAGTTGCCATCCAAGGCTATAGAACCAGATTTACCCATAGAGAAGAAGAGGATTGATACCTTTCCCAATTGTATTAGCACGTAAGTGAATGTAATGGATTCGACTGGAATTCGAACTCAGCTCTCCGATTTCTCAATCCTAGTCGTTATCCCCTACTCCATGGTGCCTCCAGCTGATTCAATAATAATAATAATGTTTCTGATTTTTTTTTATTCAATAATAATTATAATGTTTCTGATTTTTTACAGTAAGTTTCGCTATGTACAAGGTCCGAGGTCCACTCAAGGTAGAGGTTACGTTAGGAGGTAGTTTGTACATATAGGAGTGGAAGATAATGGTTAACCCTAACCATGAACAGGTTAAGATTGTAGCCCTTGGGGAAACATCAACATGGGAGTCGGTTCCACAGAGTATTGGTTCACGAGAAGAAGTAGAACTTAACTTATCACCGATGGATAATGCAGGGAATATGGGTGTTTTGCTACAATATACGTGTCACGGCGGGTCCTAGCCGTGAAAGAATGTAGTTCGTCCGAAGACTTTTCATGGTAATAACGATAGAGCAGCGAGAGGCTTGCTACATCCTGCACGTGGGAGAGAAGTTGGAGGGTGGAATAATAATTCGTCACCCACAAAGACTCGGTGACGCTTTGGAGAGTGCAGTCAGGGCAGCTCCCGCCCAAATATGACAACAGTACTCCATCTTTGGCCTAATTTGGATCTTGTAAATGTAGAAATTAGCACATTGAGTCAGGTACTTATTGGAACGATACAGGGATTCATTGACCATTTTGTTTTGCATCTTTACCCATATTCTTTTATATATATATATATATATATATATATATATATATATATATATATATATATATATATATATGTATGTATATATATGAAGATATATAGTCTTAAGATTTTGCTATATTTATGGGATAAAGAGCTCAATATCAGAGAGATAGATTATTTTGTAAATGAAAAATGAAATATGAATATTCAACGATAATAAATAAGGCGACAGTCTGTTTTAAATTAGATGCACTCGTCAGGTGGCCTGACGATTGCATGAAAATGAAACAGACTAAAATTCATAAGTTTTGACTTATGCTCATTTTTAAAATTTTATATATATATATATATATATATATATATATATATTTATAGATAGATAGATAGATAGATAGATAGAGATAGATGTGTGTGTCTGCGTCTGTGTTTGTCTGTGTGTGTGAGTGTCTGGTGTCTGCCAAAAATCATGAGATATCAGTAGTTGATATATGTATTGTTTTACCCTTTTGCTATTCAATGTTTTCTTCTCCACCTCCTTCTTCCTCACGATCTTTCCTTTCTTCTTTTTCTTCTTCTTGTTTAATTTGTCTTTCAGATTGATTTTATAATTTCCCTTTAAAATACTTTTTTACATTTACTTTTATTATCTTTCATCCTTTCGCACGTTTTGGGATGAAATCGTCCTTTTCTTAAAGATCGCTTTCCGCCATCTTTTATTTTTCTTCCTCTCATATTTGTCTTCTACGACTTTCCTCTCTCTCTCTCTCTCTCTCTCTCTCTTCTTATTCTTCTTCTGTTTCTTTTCTTTCCATTTCTTCTCTCTCTGTTCAGTTCCTTTTTTTTCTTCTTCGTCTTTTTTTATTTATTCATTTCCTTTTTTTCTTTTTCCTTCTTGTTCTTCCACTTCTTTCTATTTCTATCATTTCATTTACTTTCCCTTTCAGCTCCATTTCCTCTCCTTTTTGTTATTGCTTTTCATTTTCTTTCTTTCTTTCTTTCTTTCTTTCTTTCTTTCTTTCTTCTTCTTCTTCTCCCCCTCTTCCTCCTTCTGATTTTTCTCATTAATCTTTCATTGTTTCTTTCCTTCATTTTACTTTCTTTCTGTTCTTTCCCTTCTTATTGTACTTTTTTAAATACCTTTTCTTCCCCTTTCAGAAGTTTTTCTTTCCCTTCTTCGTTTTTCTTTCTTGCATTTTACTTTCTATTCTTGTTCTATTTATCTCTAATCCTTTTCTTCTCCTTCCAGAACCTTTCTTCTTCTTCTTCTTCTTCTTCTTCTTCTTCTTCTTCTTCTTCTATTTACTAAAACTACTACTAGTAGAAAAAACATTACTCGAATTTTCTTTCTTCTTCCTTTCTTTTTCCCTTTTCTTCTTCATCTTTCGCTTTTTCTTCCTTTTTTGCTTCTTCTTCTTCTTCTTCTTCTTCTTCTTCTTCTTCTTCTACTACTACTACTACTACTAGTAGTACAACTACTACTACTACGACGACGACTTCTTCCTCTTCTTCTTTTCCCCTCTTCTTCTTCATCTTCCGCTTTTTCTTCCTTTTTTGCTTCTTCTTCTTCTTCTTCTTCTTCTTCTTTTAACTTACTTAGTACAACTACTTACTACTACGACGACGACTTAAAATTTCTTCTTCTTTTTCTTCTTCTTCATCTTTCGCTTTTCTTCCTTTTTTTTCTTTCTTCTTCTTCTTCTTCTTCTTCTTCTTCTTCTTCTTCCACTACTACTACTAGTAGTACAACTACTACTTTGAAACGACGAAATTTTCTTCCTCTTCTTCTTTTATTTATTTTTTCTTTTCCCTCTTTTGAAATCATCTTTTCTTTTCTTCCTTTTTTTTTTCTTCTTCTTTTCTTCTTCTTCTTTTTATTACTACTACTAGTAGTACAACTACTACTACTACGACGAATACTTCTAATATTTCTTCTTTTCCCTCTTCTTCTTCATCTTCCGCTTTTTCTTCCTTTTTTGCTTCTTCTTCTACTACTACTACTACTGCTGCTGCTGCTGCTTGTTACTCCCTTTCAAATTCATCTGTGTATCTTTTTAGCAAACATCAGTCGTACAGATCTGATCTCACGTATGTAATTATAAATAGTGTAAATTGTCTGTACAAGCATCTATCCTTCTCTGATTAAATATATAATTTCACATACTCACCATACATACATATGTGTGTGTGTGTGTGTGTGTGTGTGTGTGTGTGTGTGTGTGTGTGTGTGTGTGTGTGTGTGTATGTGTGTGTGTATCAAGATGGATAAGCGTCAATTGATTAAACTTTATGTGTACTCAGAATTTAGAAAATGTCCGTTCTGCTTTGATTACAATGTTTACATACATCGGTTTTTATCCATCTTAGACACCATTTTGGCCCTTTTTTTGTCTCTCTTTCCATATATATATATATATATATATATATATATATATATATATATATATATATATATATATATAATTAATATTTGTATGTCTTCGCCTCACCTTTTCCTTTCTTACAGTTCTTATTCCTATCTCTCGATTTTCTCCTCTCCCCCCACGATTTCAAGCAGCGTCTCCCTGTTTTTAAATGTTGCTTCACGCACAGATGGACCACTCTTGTTTTAATTGGCAATTAATAAAACAGAGAATAAATAATTAAAACGCTTTGAATTGGTTCAGAGTCTCGGCTTGGAGAGCATTTACGTAAATAAAAATCGGAAGAGTTCATTTAAAAATGAGAGAGTAACGTCTAACTATTTGCAACAGAAGCTAAACGTGATGGTCTCCCATTAGTTCATTTGCGCATGCGCTGATTGACATGCATATCAGTTTACGGTTTTGTTTTTCTTCAGAGAAATATAATGACATAAAAACAGGAAAACATATGGACAGAATGAATAACAATTCGGTACAAAGTCGTATTATTTAATTAATGAATAGAATGAGATAGATAGATAGATAGATAGATAGATAGATAGATAGATAGATAGATAGATAGATATTAACTGATTGAGATAGATAGATAGATAGATAGATAGATAGATAGATAGATAGATATTAACTGACTGAGATAGATAGATAGATAGATAGATAGATAGATAGATAGATAGATAGATAGATAGATATTAACTGACTGAGATAGATAGATAGATAGATAGATAGATAGATAGATAGATAGATAGATAATGAACAGTCTGATAGATTGATAGATATGAATTTTAGAAATTAAATTTTCAATGAAATTTCTTCGAAAATTTTTAAGTTTTCATGCAAGCCTCGAAAGCCACTCAAGGTAAAGGGTTACTGAATGCTTTATATATGAATGTAAGAGGAGGGGGTAGGAAATGTAAATCATCGGTGGATCGTTGCTTTAATGGAAGATGGAACATTTACCAATTCTTAGCTGTTTAGCAGAGCATGAAAACTATTTCGAAAGAATAAGCTAATATTTCACAGAATCCATTTTCCGATTAAAACCTGGTGGCTTTTCTGCTACCTGTTACGGTATGTCCACCATCCTCTACCAAATATTCCAAGAATTGGGATTCAAGATAAAATGAAACAATGATCTGGAATTCGACTGAAAATAATGGTGGTACGTTTTGTCATCATTTAATACCAAGAAAGGCAAAAAAGTCACTAAGACACAAGTGGTTATTAAAACGTGAAAGAATAAGAAAAAGAGAAATATTATTAGGTTGATGCAAAAATAATGACGTAATAATTATCGTTTTTTGACGTTAAAAATACATCAAAAAACGACATTGTTACGTCATTATTTTTGCACCAACCTAATATTAAGGAGCGAGAAGAATGAAAGAAGACAATAGATAACATTTGACAGTGCATTTAAATTTTTGAAGATCGAAATTAGCTGGAAATCAAGAAGCCGGTAGAAAGTCCCACAAGTACGATAGAAGGAACTGTTAACATAGAACCTACAGTTACTTCTAACCGTTTAAACTGTAAAATGATGAAACCTTATCGCCAAACTAGTACGATGCTTAAATTCATAAAGTCTAGGTACCACAGGAGAAAGTTCATCATAACAATTACCATGAAAGTATTTATAGAAAATGCGCAGGGAAGCTACATTACATCGATGGGAAATTGATTGAAGTCAAGATGCCAGGTCTGAACTAATAAAATTGCAGATTCTTCTTTGGAATATATATATATATAGCAGAAGCACCAGACCAGATGTGGCAGCAATATTCAAAGCAAGGATGAATGGTAGACTTATAAATATGTAAGATAGATTCTTCTTTGGATTTTATCAAAATCTCTAAATATATAGCAGAAGCACCAGACCAGATGTGGTAGCAATATTCAAAGCAAGGATGAATGGTAGACTTATAAATATGTAAAAATAGATTCTTCTTTGGATTTTTATCAAGAATCTCTAAATATATAGCTGAGAAGTTACACCAGACCAGATGAGGCAGCAATATTCAAAGCAAGGATGAATGGTAGACTTATAAAATATGTAAGATAGATTCTTCTTTGGATTTTATCAAAATCTCTAAATATATAGCAGAAGCACCAGACCAGATGTGGTAGCAATATTCAAAGCAAGGATGGATGGTAGACTTATAAATATGTAAGATAGATTCTTCTTTGGATTTTATCAAGAATCTCTAAATATATAGCAGAAACACCAGGCCAGATGTGGCAGCAATATTCAAAGCAAGGATGAATGGTAGACTTATAAATATGTAAGATAGATTCTTCTTTGGATTTTATCAAGAATCTCTAAATATATAGCCGAAGCACCAGACCAGATGTGGTAGCAATATTCAAAGCAAGGATGAATGGTAGACTTATAAATATGTAAAATAGATTCTTCTTTGGATTTTATCAAGAATCTCTAAATATATAGCAGAAGCACCAGACCAGATGAGGCAGCAATATTCAAAGCAAGGATGAATGGTAGACTTATAAATATGTAAGATAGATTCTTCTTTGGATTTTATCGAGAATCTCTAAATATATAGCAGAAGCACCAGACCAGATGTGGTAGCAATATTCAAAGCAAGGATGAATGGTAGACTTATAAATATGTAAAATAGATTCTTCTTTGGATTTTATCAAGAATCTCTAAATATATAGCAGAAGCACCAGACCAGATGAGGCAGCAATATTCAAAGCAAGGATGAATGGTAGACTTATAAATATGTAAGATAGATTCTTCTTTGGATTTTATCAAGAATCTCTAAATATATAGCAGAAGCACCAGACCAGATGTGGCAGCAATATTCAAAGCAAGGATGGATGGTAGACTTATAAATATGTAAGATAGATTCTTCTTTGGATTTTATCAAGAATCTCTAAATATATAGCTGAAACACACAGACCAGATGTGGCAGCAATATTCAAAGCAAGGATGAATGGTAGACTTATAAATATTTAAGATAGATTCTTCTTTGGATTTTTCAAGAATCTCTAAATATATAGCCAAAGCACCAGACCAGATGTGGTAGCAATATTCAAAGCAAGGATGAATGGTAGACTTATAAATATATAAAATAGATTCTTCTTTGGATTTTTAGAAAGAATCTCTAAATATGATCTATAAAGCACCAGACCAGATGAGGCAGCAATAAAAGCAAGGATGAATGGTAGACTTATAAATATGTAAGATAGATTCTTCTTTGGATTTTAGAAATTTCATTATTTAAATATATAGCCGAAAACCAGACCAGATGTGACAGCAATATTTGAAAGCAAGAATGAATGGTAGACTTATAAATATGTAAAGAAGATTGATTCTAAGAAGAAAAATTATCTTGCACGATACAGTGAACCAATTTTAGCAACAGAGAAAGTACAAAATTCAATATAATCTTTCCATTTCATGTTGTTTATAGATTAGCCCGAGAATAATGAAGAATTCTCCTGGAGGTTAGCATCAACCATGCTGATAGTAGGCAAAAAGATGTCTCTCAGGGAGATTAATAGAAAGCAATTTCATTTTGGAGGCGTTAAAATTAACAAGCCATACCATTCCCCAGTAAACAACAGAATGGAGTTCATTTTTGCCATCAGCTGCCATTTTGACCCTATCGAACCGATCAAACTTACTATTCAGATAGGTGTACATAGCAAATCCATCACATTTCAGTGTGTGGAATTAATAGTAAACACTTTAAAGACCTCGTTATAACAAATTTAGTATGTCAAAATTTCTCAGGATTAACCTGTAGAAAAAGACAATATGAACTGAAAAATTACGTCAATTACTTTACGTTTGAAGAGAATATTTTAACGTGTAGAAATATTATTTGTATTGATATTTTGACGGATTCAGCCATTTTCTTTTGATTTCTTGGTATATTTGTTGTGTTCGTTGGCTTGGGAGAACAGTGATTGTGTTAGGAAAGATGATACTGGGGGGAAAAAACCTGGGCGTATATTAATATTTGGATAATATTCAATAGCGACACTCCCGAGAAATTATTTTTTTGATGTGCAGTATTTATAAAAACAAAATAATTGACGTAATTTTTCAGTTGACCACATGAATACACAATAGTGTTTCTAAATTCTAGTTGCTAACGACATTTTGTTTGTTGTTTATATTCATTTTGTAAAAGTACAAAATTGTGGCACATTTGGTTTGTTGTTTATAGATACTTTGTTTCAATAACTTCATTTCGTTTATTGCCTTGAAAAGAAAGAAAAGAAACATGAAGCACTGGCTGCTCGGTCAATGAATTGAATTTTCCTTTATACAACAAATTTAGTATAAGATTAGAGAAAGGAGAACAGATAGGCAGCGTTAGAATTTGATCCCAGCCTGATGGCCAATTGATAAAAAAAGAAATCGTTAAAGAGAAAATTCTAGTCACCTTCTTAAATAGCTTTGTTAATGGAATGCAAAAATGGATCATTATAAGGACGCCATATATGTTCAGACCATTGATAGAGTATACAGCGACTTTCTAACTGGTGCTACAGCATCACAATCCAACTGCTCCAAATAACAGGAACAATATCACTTGAGAATTTTCAACATTAGCAACAATTAAATTGATTATGACATGCAACACGAAGGGAAAATGATGGCATATTAGAAATGGTGACAAACGACACTACCTTAAATGAAGAAAACTCCTACGAACACTGGAAAGCTAAAACAGCTACTGGACTTGAGAAATCTATTTTCATGAAAAATTTCTTAAAGAAAATGATTTTATAAATTTCAATCGACAGAATCAATGAATACCGAATGTTTCATTATAAGGAAACGGCTAATATTACCATTAGATATGAGGAGAACATATACTACACTTTGATCCCAGCCCGATGGCCAGGGAGTGAAGAAAAACGTAAAGAGTAGCACTGGCTGCTCGGTCAATGAATGCCGAATGTTTCATTATAAGAAAAACGGCTAATATTACCATTAGAAATTAAGGAGAACAGATACTATACTTTGATCCCAGCCTGATGGCCAGGGGAGGAGTGAAGAAAAACGTAACGAGTAGCACTGGCTGCTCGGTCAATTAATGCCAAATGTTTCCTTATAATGAAACGGTTAATATTACCATTACCGCTAAAGATAAGGAGAACAGATACTACACTTTGATCACATCCCGATGGCCAGGGAGTGAAGAAAAGCGTAAAACAGCACTGGCTGCTCGGTCAATGAATGCCGAATGTTTCATTATAAGGAAACGGCTAATATTACCATTAGAAATGAGGAGAACAGATACTACACTTTGATCCCAGCCCTTTAGCCAGGGAGTGAAGAAAAACGTAACGAGTAGCACTGGCTGCTCAGTCAATGAATGCCGAATGTTTCATTATAAGGAAACGTCTAATATTACCATTAGAAATGAGGAGAACAGATACTACACTTTGATCCCATCCCAATGGCCAGGGAGTAAAGAAAAGAGTAACAAGGAGCACTGACTGCTCGGTCAATGAATGCCGAATGTTTCCTTAGAAGGATATTACCAGTACTATTAGAGATGGGGAGAACAGATACTACACTTTCATCCCAGCCAGATGGCCAGGGAGTGAAGAAAAGCGTATCGAGTAGCACTGGCTGCTCGGCCAATGAATGCCGAATGTTTCCTTAGAAGGAAACGGCTAATATTACCAGTACTATTACCTTCTTACTCTGTTCTTTTACTTCAAACAAAACATTGCTGATTACATCCCGGAAGTTTAATTTTCATTTCCTTTAACGAAATACTTTTATTCCAGTAATCATTCAACTGATTTTTCGACATTTTAGTAATTGCCAAATAGGATTCTTTTTTTTTTTTTTTTTGAGTACCAGTTGCTCTTTTTGCGCAATCCATCCATGAAATTATTTTCAATTCAATAGTGTACAAATTGGTGAGATGTCTACATCTCTTCTATAAATCTGTCAGCGTATTTCTACGATGGATTTCGGATTGGTTGAAATTTCCTTTAGAATTTTCGCCATCCTTAATTGTTAAAATTTTCATTAGGCATGTGCATTTTTCAGTTCGCGCTACAACTGATCGAATTTAGCTTAGACCAGAGTTTACCCAAGCTGGGTGATATCGTCCACCAGTGGGCGATTTCAACTGTTGGGTGGGCGCCGAGTAACGGAACAGAAAATGATGGGCGATTGGAAATTTTCGTGGGGAATATAGGATTTTGAGTATTAAAAAGATATTTCAACATATGCTACTCGAAAAAAATTATCCAAAGGAGATATGCAAAGAAACGGTATAAAACAAAGCAAGAGGCTAAATGGGAATAACAGAGTCACATTCCTAGATAAGGCATAAATATGCCCGCTAACAACGAATATTATGGTATTTTATAATTTTGAGGAGGTTCATTAATATTCAAATAGTTCTTCAGACGAAATAACATTTTTTCATATATATATATATATATATATATATATTTTGAGATAAAACACCAAAAAATTCAGATTAAGGAAATTAGTTGCTAGTAGATTGTATATATTTTTTTAATTTTATAATTCTCAACAAAAGTCGTTTAATTTTATGTCAACACTTGCAACACTAACCTTAACTATAAAATCTACCATAAAACTAAATTCTATATATAGTTTTCAATGGTCAGGTTTGCTTTTATTCGTTCTTTAATACGGTAGCAGCAGCCGTCGCTGCGTAAGTTACTGTTTTTTATTGCATTTTTTTACTACATCGTAAAGTTAGTTTATGAACCAGTAACAAACTTTTATCAAACGATTTTGGTATGCTTTTTAATCTTACTTAGTATAAAACGCAAATTGTGTGTGTGTGTGTGTGTGTGTGTGCGCGCGCGCGTGTGTGTGTGTGTGTGTGTGTGTGTGTGTATGTATTGGATCGGATTTCCTACATTTTTCAACCGATTTCAACAAAACTTCACAGGACTGCGTAAAATTACCTTGCGGTGGTTCTGACAGCGCCAAAATTGGAAAAACACAATTGTTTTTGCACAAAATCAGTTTGAAAACACGATAAAACACGATTCTGTCGCCAGAATGAAAGGGGACAACTCATATCGAGTTATACTTATTATAAAAACCCAGGTTTGTGTGTGTGTGTGTGTGTGTGTGTGTGTGTGTGTGTTCGTTTATATATGGGATCGGATTTCCCACATTTTTCAACCGATTTCAACAAAACTTGTCTATTTTTTTTTTGGCAGGTAGTGTTTCTTATTGTCTTTTATTTTTTTTTTTTCTTTATTTTTACATTCAGAATGCTTTAAAAATTCCATTTACAAGACAATTGTTTATAATAAAATTCTATTCAATCGACAGACTCATAACGATTGAAAACAATGTTTTTGTTTGAGTTTGGGTTTGACCAATTCGTAAAAAAATAAAAATAAAAAATAAAAATAAAAATAAACTAATTAAGACATGCGTGTCCGTCAACGTTAAACAATAATCTTTGTCAATTTTTTTTTTCATTCTTTATGATGGTCGATACTTGATCTATCTCTTACTGTTACATTGTAATGGCAACGCCGGGTTCTACTACTAGTTGAAATAATGCAGCTGCATGGTGGAAAATTTTTCAATCCATTTGGCGGAAAAAACTTGGGGACTTCAGATTTAGACTAAAGTATAAGAGAATTATGAACATTTGAGAAATGACTTTAATCTGAAAAACGTCAGCAACTGAAAATTAAAGAATGTACTTATGGCACTAAATATTTTAGGCTCAGTTTGTCTAATGATAATTATTATTTATATATTTATCACAGAGAAAGGCTCCTACCGTTCATTAACGTTTATTTAACACATGGAGATAAGATGCGGTCTATCCTGATATTTACCCATATATATGGCAATTGTTATGAGCTGTTCCCCTTAGTCTGTCGAATGCTTGAATTTAAACCTGCTACTAGATTAGCAACTCTGTCTCACCGTTTACTACCAGTGTTCATCAAATAAGGGAAGACAAACAACAAAAAATATTCGCTGAATTTTTATTAGATGCTCTTCCTCCTCCTCACCCGTTATTTTTAGTTTTTAATTTTATAAAGATGAATTAAAATTTTTGAATTTTATTTTTGTCACCTCTTGCAATGCTAATTCTAACCATAAAACTAATCTTGTATAATGTAGTTTTCATTGGCCAAGTTTGCTTTCATTTATTCTTTTATACAATAATAGCAACAGGATCGGCATAAGTCAGCGTTATTTGTTACTTTCAGTCGAATCCATTGCATTCACTTACGTGCTAATACTCTTGGGAAAGGTATGAATCCTCTTCTCCCTACATCTATGGTTAAATATCACAACAGACTGGGTTCTATAGCCTTGGATGACAGCTGGTCTACCGCAGAAAGAAATGGCAACCTACTGCGGGAAAAAAATCTGCCTCGTCAGTCATGTATCGAAAGATACATGATCGCCTAAGCGTGTATCACGCATGGCACATAACTGACTGACTGGCTTTCCAGTCGAATCCATTGCATTCACATTTGTGCTAATTCCCTTGGGAAAGGTATGAATCCTCTTTTTCTCCACTCAGCTAGCGGTACATGGCGAGACAGACCGGGTTCTATTGCCTTGGATGGCAACTGGTCTACTGTAGAAAGAAATGGCAACCTACTGCAGGCAAAAATCTGCCTCGTCAGTCATGTATCGAAATGTACATGATCTCCTAAACGTGTATCACGCATGGCACATAACTGACTGACTTTGGTACTTTTTACTACATTTTAAAATCAGTTTATGAACCAATAACAAACTTTTAGCAAACAATTTTGACATGTTTTTGATTATCTGCTATACAGATGGGTGGGGGGAAATGTTTTCATGTGTGTTAGAGATTTTTTTTTTTATTATTTAAGCGTTTCACCCCAAGCAAAGCGGGAAGCCACTAGGACGCAAGGAGTTACAGAAGATTTGGAGCAAAATCAGATAGGAGTGATAGAGGAAAGGATGAGGAGAAGGATAGATGATAGATCAAGGCAACTGGAGATGTCGATTGACATTACATTTGAATAGCTGGAGATTATAGCTCTCAGGGGAACTGGAATAGGGAAGGGAGTTCCACAGGCGAGACGTGCAAGATATGAAGCTATTGGAGTAGAAGAGACGGCTACATTTAATAGTTTCGACAGTGAAAGGGTGAGAGCGGGATGCCAGCCTCGTAGGGCGCTTGAATTCATGAAGTCTGGGAACCAGTGAAAGCAACTCATCGGAGAAATTACCATGAAAGTAGAGAGAGGCAACGGCGCGTCTATGAGAGAGAGACTGTAGACGAGATGCCAGAACAGGGTCAATTATATTGCATATCCGCCTCTGGAGCCTATCAAGAACCCCAAGGCAAACAGAAGGGGCTCCAAACCATATATGGCAGCAATACTCCATGCAAGGGCGAATTGTTGATTTGTAGATCTGAAGTATCGATTCTGGGGAGAAAAATTTCCTAGCGCGGCACAGGGAGCCAACTTTCCTTGCGCTGAACGAAGCAATTGACTCAATATATTTGTTCCATCTCAGGTCAGCAGTCAACGTGAGACAAAGCAGCCGCAGAAGAAGAAAATCAAGAAAGAAGTTGAACGTCAGACATTCTAATGTAGGGCAGGAAAGGATCTCTGTTTGATTAATAAAAGCAGTTTTTTTTTTGAGGCATTAAAGTTGACCAGCTAATTCCTGCCCCAGTTCACGACCGATTGGAGGTCCTTTTCGAGAATGCAGAAAAGGTTGGGAACCCCTGGATTAGACGATTGAGGAAGTGTTCTATTACCGATAATTTCTTAAATAAGTTTCGAGGTGTTGTCTTTATTGGAAGATGAATTGCCTACCAAATTTAAACTGGATAATAGACAGCAAAAGATTTTTCGAAAGAAAGGGCTGATATATTAGGGATTCCATTGCCTATCTCCTCCTCATTCCTCAGCCTCTTGCTCATTAGTCCCTTCTTTTCTCACTCCTCCCTCTCCCTATTCATCTTGTTCTTCTTATTCTCCTCCTCCTCCCCTATCTCTTTATAATAATTCTTCGTTAACCTTCTCCACCTTCTCTTTATCCGTTCCATATTTCTCTTCCACCTCCCTAAACTCAGTGTACCCCTCCTCTTCATTCCTCACACTCTTCCTCCTCAGTTGCTCCTCCTTCTTATTCACCTCCTCCGTCTCTTCATTATTCATTCTTTTTCTTTTTCTTTTTCTTCTTCTTCTTTATCTCTTCCTAAATCTCCTTCGTTATCCTTCCCATCCACCTCCTCCTCCTTCTCATTGTTATTCTTTTTCTCCTTCTTCTAGTAGAAAAATATCTACATTTTTCCTCATTCATTCTCCTTATTCTAATGCCACCTCCTCTTCCTCATTGTCTTTCTCTTCCTCCCTTTATTGGCCTCCCCCCTCCATCCATTCTTTTGACTCCTCCTCTTTCTACGCATCGTTTTTCGTACACCTTCTCATCCTCATTCTCCATCTACTCCTCAATCCTCTTCTTCTATTTCGTCTTCTGCTTCTTCTAAGAAACGAATTTCTTCATTCCTCCCCCCCCCCTCATTTTTGAAAATCTGGAATTTCTTCCTTTCGTTCTTCTCCTCCTCCTGTTATTATTATTATTATTCCTTCTCATTCTTCTACCCCCGTCTCTGTATTCTTTTTCTTTTTCCACCCCCATCCTCCGTTTCCTCATTTTTATCCTTCTTCTTCGCGTCTTCTTCTGTCTCCTCCTCCTTCGTCTTCTTCTTTCTACTTCTTTTTCCGTTTCCTCATTATTGTTATTCTTTTTTGTCGTTTTTTCTCCCACTCCTCCACCCGTCTTTTTATCATTATTATTTTTCTTTATTATATCTTATTAAGAATCCTCCTTCTCCTCCTCCTCCTCTTTAATTTTCTTCGTATCCTCCATTTTCTTTCCCTCCTTCCCTTGTCTTCCTCCTGATTATGAAAAATTTTCTTTTCTCCTTCTTCTTCCTCCTCCTTCTCCTCCTCCTGTCTCTTAAGAAATATTTCTTTTTATTCTTTTCCTCCTTCTCCTTCTTTCATTTTCTTCTTTTTCTCTTTCTTCCTTAAAATTCATTTTTTTTTCTTCTTCCTTCATTTTTTTCTTCTTCTTTCACGCGTTTCTTCTTCTTTTTCTTCTCTTTTATCTTTCTTCTTTTTCATCTTCTTCATCTTCTTCTTCTTCTTCTACGTCTTTTTCTTCTTTCTCTTCTTCTCCCTTCCCAGTGAATGTTATATAAAGGATTTCTTCGTAGGAAATATATGGACACGTTTTGTGAGCGCGCATGTATGTGTACACGTGTCTGAGTGCATAAGTGACTTTGTGTGTGTGTGTATGTTCATATGTGAACAGAAAGTACTACACAGTAATCTGTATACCAACCAGATTAATTAAAAATGGCCTAAGTCCACTTTATTGACGCTAATTCTTATGTCTGATGAGAAGAGTATGGTTGGTTGGGTTTGTGAATATGGCCATAAAATCTCGTACTGGATTTTATATTAGGTGAATTAGAATTATATAAAGGTATTATAGACACTGTGTGTGTGTATATGGCTCTCTATGTGTGCGCGCGTGTTCTCACAGTTTTTTTGTTTGTGTAATATGTCTGTGAAATTCACTTGTGTCAATAAATCCCCAACCTCTGCTGTTTTTTCAACCTTAACGCCATAAACTACTGAGAGATAGAGAATGTGTCGAGTGGGGGAGGCTGTCGGAAAAGAATTGGAGATTTGGTGAGAGAAAGGGAGACGGAATGACCAACCGAAATGGGGAAGCTGATGACAAGCGTATTATGATATGTTTTGGAACGCCGTTCCAATTACGCGAATTGACATCATATCAAGTGGATTTGGTTTGCCGTTTTTCTTCGCTTGTTGTGTCTTTTAATATATCGGTTAACTTTCCGTCCACATACGGTTTTTTTTCTCTTTTTCTCTCTTTTCTCAACTTTCTCTCTCTCAATCTCTCTAACTCTTTCATTCTTTCTCTCTCTCTCAATCTCTTTCTCTTTCTCTCTCTCTGTTATCTCTTTCTCTCTATTTATCTATTTTCTTCTTTTTTTTTCTTTATTTTTCTCTCTTTTCCTTTTTTTCTCTTCTTTTCTTTTCTTTTTTTTTCTTCTCTCTTTTCATTTTTTTTTTTTTCTTCTTTTCTTTTCATTTTTCTTTTTTCTCTTTTCTAAATCCATTTTTCTCTCTCTCTTTTTTTCTTTCTCTTTTTTTCTCTTTTCTCTTTTTTTTTCTCTCTCTCTCTCTCTCTTTCTCCCTATTTCTCTTTCTCTCTCCTTTTTTCTTTTGCCTTTCGCTTTTCTCTCTCTTTTTCCCTCTTTTTTATCTCTTTCTCTCTCTTTCCCTTTTTCTCTCACTTCCTCTTTTTCTCCCACTTTCTCTCTCTATTTTTTCTCTCTTTCTCTCTCTTTCTCTTTTTCTCTCTTTCGCTTTTTCTCTCTCTTTCTCTTTTCCACGCTCTTTTTCTCTCCCTAAGCCTTTTCCTCACGCTTTTTCTCTTATTCTATTTTTCTCTCTCTCTTTCTCTTTCTTTTTTCTCGTTCTTTTCTCAAATTTTTTCTCTTTTTCTATTTTTTTTCTTTCTCCCAAAATTCTTTTCTCTCCTTTTTCTCTCTCATTTTCTCCTTTTTTTCTCTTTTTTCTAACCTTTTCTCTCATTTTCTCTCTCTCTTTTCTTTTTTCTTTCCTCTTTTTCTCTTCCACTTCTTTTTTCTCTGTTTCTTTTTTCTCTCTTTTTTTTTAAAAAATTCTCTCTCATTTTCTCATTTTTTTCTTTTTCTCTCTTTTCTCTCTTTTTTTTCTTTCTTTTTTCTTTCTTTCTTTCCCTTTTTCTCTCTCTCTCTTTCTCTTTTTCTCTCTCTCCACTTCTCTCTGCCATACTCAACTTTTCATTTGTTCCCAATTCTCCTTCTTCCACAAGTTTTTCTCTTCTCGTCGTTCACGTCGCCACTCATCTTCCCGCCTCTTCTAATCAGCTTCTTCCCTTTAACTGGACAATATGGTGATTCTCCAAGCCTATCTTAAATGTGGCACAACGCCCAAAGTGTACGCCTCCTAGTGAGTATCAAACTAACTAGTCCTTGTTCCAGCGTGACAAGCTTGCTAACCATTGCACCATGTCGAAGTGCATTGGTGATTTTCTAAGTGCAGCACAAGGCCTAAATTAGGAGGCACTACTATTCAGTAGTAATTGATCTGGCGAGACAAGTTTGTTAACCATTACACTATGTCGAAATGCCCTTGGTGATTTTCTAAGTGCAGCTTAGATGTGGCATAAGGGCAAATAGATGGGGCACCCAATACAGATCGAACTCACATCGTCACAATATGCGTCAATATATGTAGTTCTACATTTTACACACATACACACACTATATAAATGCACATTTCTATTAATCCGACATATATCATACTTATTATAAAACCGAGGTTGTGTGTGTGTCTGTTCGTTTATATATTGGATCGGATTTCCTACATTTTTCAACCGATTTCAACAAAACTTCACAGGACTACGTAAAATTACTTTGCGGTGGTTCTGACAATTTAAAAATTGGAAAAACACAATTGTTTTTGCACGAAATCAATTTGCAAACACCATTAAGAGACACTTATAAAACTCAGTTACACTTATAAAACTCAGGTTGTTTTGTGTGTATATGTTTATGTGTGTGTGTGTGTGTGTGTGTGTGTGTGTGTGTGTGGTGTGTGTGTGTGTGTGTGTGTGTGTGTGTGTTCGTTTATATATGGGATCGGATTTATTAAATTTTCTTAACCGATTTCAAACAAAACTTCTTAAACTTCTTTTTTATTGTCTTGCACACTTTTTTTTCTTTATTTTTACATTCAGAATGCTTTAAAAATTCCATTTACGAGACAATTGTTTATAATAAAATTCTATTCAATCGGTAGACTCATAACGATTGAAAACAATGTTTTTGTTTGAGTTTGGGTTTGACCAATTCGTAAAAAAATAAAAATAAAAAAAAAAATAAAAATAAACTAATTAAGACATGCGTGTCCGTCAACGTTAAACAATAATCTTTGTCAATTTTATTTTTCATTCTTTATGATGGTCGATACTTGATCTATCTCTTACTGTTATATCCCCGGGCAACGCCGGGCTCTACTGCTAGTATATATATATATAGAGAGAGAGAGAGAAAGAGAGAGTGAGAGAAAGATATATATATATATATATATATATATATATATATATATATATATATATATGTGTGTGTATATGTGTGTGTGTTTACTCTATTTATAGGAACAGATTGCTCAAAATCGGCGACAGAGCTTTGTACATACTGACGCTGTGAACTTAGGAATCACTACTATATAGATAGTATTGGTTTCACACGTCGATCTTTACAGCGAAACAGTCTGTCCGTGGGTGACAATATATATGCCCCCGGGAAATCCGGTTAAAAACAGTGGCTCATGCCGCTATTAAAGCATTGCTCTTCAACCGAATTGAATTGAGCTCTCCGGGTCACTGGTGTATTTCGCATAGAAAACGTTAAAATTTCCCTTCCTCTCTGCCGTAAGACGATAACGTCGGGTTAGAATCTATGACAGATACCAAATCGGTCGGGTTCCGATCCCAGCTTGAACCACCCGGACGTTTAACCACACTGAAGAGCTGTGATACAGCGAAACAGTCTATCTGTGGATGACTATATATATATATATATATATATATATATATATATATATATATATATATATATATAATATTAAGGGTCAAACCAAGTTGTATTTCAGCAGTAAGAATTCTTTCAAGCATGTTTAGTCAAATAATATGGACAAGTATCATACGAAAGTACTTTGGAAAAAATAATATAAAATAATAGCATGAATTTTGACAAATTTCCCGATGAAACTAAACAACGTATTCGGAAAATTGAAATGTTTTATTTTTTAAAAAAATTAATAGACAAAACTTGTTTATATTATTTAATAAAACACAGGAGCGTGCGCACGCGGACACACACACACACACGCACACACAAACATATATATATTGTATTATTGCAACTGTTTATATTACTGAGATGAGGTATTTACATTATTTACATTGTTCGGTCTGTTGTCCTCATCTTTATTGCCATGTTCACGAATTTTCGGACAATCTACCTCGGTGGACGAAATAAAGGGTTCAGTTCGAAATTCCAATCACCTGAAGAAGTCGGAACGTACAATGACCGAAACGCCATGAATACAGCAATAAAGATGAGGACAGCAGTCCGAAAAATGTAGAGAACATAAATGTATTATTGCAGTTTTTATTTTATGTATTATTGCAGTTTGATCTTTGAGGCTTCAGGAACGTGGCTTTTAGACGGAATCAGAATCAATGAATTGCTGCTGTCCAAGATTACTGTGTGGCTTAAATGCAGCTGAGGCATGCCGTCGCCTCAGTGAAGAATCGGGTGAAACTTTTGGAACACCCTGTATATATCCGATGAAGTTCTAAAGGACGAAACGCGTCACAAGAAAACTTTTTCCACTTTAATACATATATTTTTGCCATTATTAAAATGGTTGCTGAAGACATTAGGTTTATAATACCCAGAAATTCATACATAAGGACACATGGCACAGTGGATAAAGGCGTTAGTTAGATCCAGTGACAGGACCCAAAGAGTGTGAGTTCAATACCCGGTTAAGGCAGTGGAGAATTTTCAGAGGGAAATTAACAGGAGATAACTGATAACTGACATCCATCAAACATGGCACGTGGAACTAGAACAGTCTACCCCAGTGAGTAAAATAAAGGGTTCAGTTCGACATTCCAACCACCTGAAGAAGGCCGGAGCGTACAACGGCCGAAACGTTGTAATAAATATGGCAACAAAGATGAGGACAATAGTCCGAATAATGTAAATAATGTAGATAATACCTCATCTCAGAAATATAAACAGATATTTTTGCCATATATATATGTATGTATATGTATCATTTCACACTAAGCAAGGCAATAAAGCCACTAAAACGCAAGGGGTTACTGAGTATGAAAGAATATGAGGATAAGAAAAGATTATTATGGTGAGAGAACTATAAATGGCCTGGAGGAAGACAGAAGATAACAGTTGATATTGGATTTTAATTTTTGATGATCAATGTTAACGCCAAAGCAAGAAGCCAAAAGAGCGTTCCACAAGAAATTACATCTGGCCATTTTAACTCAAAAATGGAGAGAACAAGCTACCAAGCTCAAATTCTAGATACCGTAGAGTACCATCCGAAAAATTAACATGAAAATATTTATAGAATAGACGCACGAAAGTACATTACGGCGCTGGGAAATTGACTGAAGCCGAGATGTTATGTCAGCACTGAAAATATTGCAGATTCTTTAAATTACATCAACAATCTCAAAATGCATAGCCGAAACATCAGAACAGATGTGGCAGCAATATTCAAAGCATGGAGAAATGGTAGGTTTATAAATGTGTAAAATAGATTCTGACAGTAAACAAACTTTTCTAGCAGCAAACCTGGCAAATGAACCAAAATAATCTTTCCACATCAAAATGTCGCCCGAATTATACCTGGAGGTTAGCATCAACCATGCTGATGGAAGTCTTATGAACTGTTTGTGGTTTGAAACATATTTTGGGTTGTAAGAGAAAAGGATTTTTCTTTTCAAGTGAATATTGAATTAACATTTTTAGAATAACAATACAAGATGCAGCTCCTACAATTTAAGCTATGACTGGGTTGGGGGAAGGGACTGAGATCGATTCATACCTTTCCCAGGGTTATTTGTGCGTAAATGAATGTAATGAACCTGACTGGAATTCAAACTCGGCTCTCCGATTTCTCAATCCGGGTCTCTATTCATTTCACCACCTGCACATTCGCAAGACCCGGTTAAAACAAAAATTGGGATAAGAATTAGACTAGATTTGATTTCGCCTAAATTATTTACAGAAATTCTTGAAAGTATCTTCCGGAAAATAAAACAAAAAGGAACGGGGGTAAGAATAAACCTTCCTATTTTGCGATTCATAAAACCTCATCTTTGTTGTATTTTTGTGTATCCAAGATCTCCTTTGCTTTGATATCTAATTCCGTAGAAACAAAGTCAAATTCTTAAGACCAAAAACAGCAAGTGCCGATTTTTACCCCCACCCACCCCAAAGTTCGCACACTAGATATATCAGAACAGTCTACACTGGTGTCTACGAAACGGTCAAGCAAGAAAAAGCCGTACTGTTTTTAGTTAAGTGTCATGCATGATACACGATCATGTATCTTTCGATTCGTGACTGACTAGGCAGATTTTCCACCTATAGTTTACCGTTTCTTTTTGAAGTAGACTGCTTGCCAACCGAGGTTATAGAACTCTTACTATTCAACCCATATCGGGGGGGAGAAGAGATGGATTCATACCTTTCCCAAGGATATTTACGCGTCAGTCAATTCAGTGCCATACGTGATACACATTTGGGCGTTCATTTTTTTCAATT